CTCCAAAATCCCTAATCCTCCTTTCTCCATTCCCAAATGCTGTTCGTTCTTTCGCTCTTCGCCTTCTTCTCCAACTATAATAATACCCGCCCCACGAGACGAGCCTTGTCCCCAAGGATCAAACTCAGGAAACTGGCCACGCAGAAACGAATAATCTTCCCAAGTATTATTCGATTCATCCAAGTTTTGTCATCGAATCAACAACTGAGTGACTGGTTTTCCATTTCTATTTACGATTCGTTTTCCCAAAGTGTTCAAGGGTTTTATTTGCAACTGACCATCTTTATCTATGGCAGGAGGATCTGTAGCAGTAACTGATGAATCCCCGATGAATCTCTTCAGAAGACTGACATGAAATACAGGGTGGAGTCTGGAAGACTCAGGTAATTCCAGTCGATAAGCTACTTCACCTATTTTTTCGAGTATTTTGTATGGTCCAAAATATTTTGCTGTTAACTTAAGATTTTTCCGCAGGGCAATCGAAGATTGTTTATATGGCTGCAACTTCAGGTACACCAATTCTCCAATTTGAAAAACCCTTTTTGTTTTACTTTTATCAGCCTGTTGTTTCATCCTGTTACTGGCTAATTCTAATTGATGCTTGACTAACTGCCTTATATGCTCCCTGTTAGACATAATTTCACTAACTGACTGAACTGTAGTATCTGTTGGGCAACCGATAATAGGTGGTTTGTAGCCATATAAAGCCTGAAAAGGAGTCAATTTCAAAGCTGTATGGTAAGTGGTGTTGTACCACCACTCTGCCTGAGGTAGCCATTTAGCCCAATATTTAGGCTGATAAAAACAAATGCCCCTTAAATATTATTCTAAACACTGGTTGACCCTCTCTGTTTGTCCATCCATTTCAGGATGATAAGCAGTGCTGAACAGTGTCCTTGTACCCAATTGTTTCATCAATTCTTTCCAAAACAAACTAGTAAAGGTCTTATCTCTGTCAGCAATGGCCATTTTAGGCTGGCCATGTAGTTTATAAACACTGTCCAGGTAGAGCTTAGCAACCTCTGCTGCAGAATAAAGATGAAATAGAGGTAGAAAATGGCTGTATTTGGTGAATTTATCCACAATTACCAAAATACAGTTTTTCTTGAAGGAAATAGGCAATCCTTCAATGAAATCCATGGTAATGATTTCCCAGGCTTGATTAGGAACAGACAGAGGTTGTAGCAAACCAGGTTTTGCTACATGTTCCACTTTAGTTTGCTGGCAAACTTCACAACATCTCACATAGGTAGCAACCATAGCTTTAAGATTTGGCCAATAAAAATTTGACCTAATCCTATTATATGTAGCCTGTGCCCCAGAATGTCCTCCTTGAGGAGAATCATGCAAAGTCTGTATAACTTTCAACCTAAGGCTTCCATTAACTCCAATATAAACTCTCCCATCATATATAAGAACAACTTTAAAATATTTCTATTTATTGTCAGCAGCAGGATTAATAGTTAAAATGGAAATCCAATTTTGAGCTATAGAATCATTCTTATAACTGTCTTCAATCTCTTGAATCCAAGTAGGAACCAAAACAGTTACTCCCATAGCCAAACAATGAACTTGATCTTCCCATGTTCTGGATAAAGCATCAGCAACTACATTTGATTTTCCTTTTCTATATTGAATAGTATAGTCTAATCCCAATAACTTGGTCAAACCTTTCTTCTGAATAGTGGTAGTTAATTTCTGCTCCAACAAAAATTTTAATGGTTCATGATTTGTTTTAATAACAAATGGCCTACTCTCCAGATAATGCCTCCATTTAGAAACAGCCAATAGAATAGCCATATATTCTCTTTCATAAATAGATAGAGTTGAGTGTCTAGGACTTAAAGCTTTACTTAAATAAGCAATAGGTCTTCCCTCCTATGAAAGAACAACCCTTATACCCCCAGAACTAGCATCTGTCTCTAGATAAAAAGTCTTAGCAAAATCTGGTAGTGCTAAAATTGGAGCAGAAGACATAGCTTTTTTAAGATCCTCAAAAGCAGAATAAGTAGTAGAATTCCATTGAAACCCATCATTTTTTAACATCTGTGTCAATGGTCTGCTAATAATGCCATAATTCTTAATAAATCGCTTGTAACACCCTGTCAGACCAAGAAATCCTCGAAGAGATTTAAGGGATTTAGGCTTGGGCCAATTATGTATAGCTTCCACCTTACTAGGGTCTGTAGACACACCTGCAGCAGATATTATATGGCCTAAATACTCCACTTTAGTCTGCCCAAAAAACATTTGGAAAGTTTTGCAAATAATTGGTTCTTTTGCAAAACTTCCAAAACTAATTTTAAATGTTCAACATGGTTTGTCATACTGCTATTGTACACCAAGATATCATCAAAGAAAACCAACACAAATTTTCTAAGGAAATAATTAAATAATTCATTCATAAGGGCCTGAAATGTAGCAAGAGCATTAGTAAGGCCAAAAGACATTACCTTAAATTCATAATGGCCTTGATGTGTTCTGAATGCAGTCTTATAGATATCTTCTGGTTTAATTCGAATCTGCCAATAGCCTGACCTCAAATCAATTTTTGAAAAGTATACAACCCCATGTAGCTCATCCAACAAATCTTTCACTATAGGAGTAGGAAACTTATCCTTAATAGTTAGACTATTTAGTTGTCTGTAATCCACACAAAACCTCCAAGTTCCATCATTCTTTTTAATAAGAAGGCAAGGAGAGGCAAAGGGGTTGCTGCTAGGTTGAATGACAGAAGAAGAAAGCATTGTAGATATCTGTTTCTCAACCTCAGTCTTCTAATTGTGAGGAAATCTGTAAGGCCTTAGATTAACTGGTGTGGCATTAGGTTTAAGTGGAATAGAATGATCATGAGACCTCTGTGGAGGTAGGCCTTCAAGTTCAGCAAAAACTGAACTATATTTTTCCAATACATGTTGGAGTTCCATAGGAATAGAAGAAGAAGCTCATGCCATAGTCAATATGACAATATGGCCCATAATATCAGAATCCCCTACACTCATTTTTAGTAATGTAGCCCCTGAAATTTGTTGTAATTCATTTGAAGACTGTTGTCCTTGAATACAAATTTGTTTCCCCTCATGATCAAAACTCAAAGTCATATTATTGAAGTCCATTAGTATTGGACTAAATAACTTCATTCAATCCACTCCTAAAACCATGTCACTTTCACCCAGTTTAAGCAATCTAAAATCATGCAAAAAAGTATGTCCCTGCATTTGCCACTGTACTTGATTGCATCTAGCAGTACTGAATAGTTGTTGGCCATTAGCCACAGTAATGGCCAAAGGATGAGGGGTCGTAATTTGAATGCCAACATCAGCCCATTTAGGAGTCAAGAAACTGTGTGTACTGCCACTATCAATTAGGATACTTAATGATTTTCCTTGTATAATGCCTTGGATTCTCAATGTAGTATGACCAATAGAATCAGTAATTGCATTCATAGAGATTTCCAAAGTTTCTTCTTCTGCCTGTGGCGACTGATCTGAATCTGTAGGTAAAAATTCTACTGGAGAAGTGCCAATTTCCTCAGTAATCATGTTCAATTGTCTATTTTTGCATTGATGACCTGGGAGATATTTTTCACCACATTTAAAACAAAGATTGTTCTGTCTTCTGTACTCAATAAGATTTTGTTTAGGAGTTGATGCTGTTGTAGGTTTGGTAGTCACTGGCAGTGAAGATGTTTTTGAAACAGTAATGGGGTTAGGGTAGGGTGGGGACTTAAAAGAAGGCCTCAACCTTCTGTTTTCAAACTCCACATATAGTTCATAGAGTTTAGCTTGCTTACATGCTTCAGACAAATTCTTAGGATCTAAAGCTTTAACCCTATGCTTAATATCATCTATGAGTCCACTAATAAAAAGTGACACAAAAAACTCCTCAGTCAAAGTAGGATTCTGCAAGAGCATATGAGGTTGTAACTTCTCAAACTTCTCCTGATAATCCTCTACAGTCCCTTTCTGAGTCAATTTAGTGAACTCCTCTACAATATCAGAAAAAGATATGTCACTGAATCTGTGACAGAGATCAACTTCAAATTCATGCCATGTGACATGGTGTTTTTACATAATATACCCATCAAACCATATTTCAGCCTTGCCTGTCAAATACATAGTAGCTACCTCTACTCTCTGCTCAACAAGAACACCACAAATGGAAAAATATTTCAAACATTTCTGAATCCATCCCCTAGGTCTATGCCACATAGTAGCTCTATTTTAGGTCTATGCCACATAGTACTCGAGCTATTAAATGAATCCCCTGAGCTTTTTTTCTCTGTTTCCTGACCTATTAGAATGGGACTAGATTCACTATTTTTACCCTTAAGATTTTCATGTCTAGAACTATTCTTAAGAGCTAGACAATCATCAGGTTTAGTTCTTAATATCCCAGGCTCATCTGTTTTATAAGTAAATATGGATTTGTCCTTTACCACAGTTGCCAAAACAAGACTTTTCTCTCCATGTTTAGAAGCATTAGGAGTTTGTACCTGTTCACCATCAGCCTGTTCTTGCTCTCCCATTCTGCCTGTTAGAATCTTTAGCAACTCTTCAACATAGCCTTGATTAGTAGCTATCCTTGACTCCAATGCTGTGATTCTGTTTTCTTGTGTTTCCCACCACTTAAGTGGATTAGTCTCATCATGTCCTTGCTTCACTAATGTTGTTAATTCCTCAATCTGTTTTTGTAGGCCTGATAGATCAGCTTCCGTCATGTTCTGATTCTTCTTTAACATGCCCACCGCTTGCCAGAACCGAGGCTCTCGATAACAATTGTTGTGGATTGAGGATAAAAGAGAATAAATTATCAAAGAAGAGAGGTTATAGAAGAAGAAGAAAAGGGATTACAGAAAGGAAGTTCTCATTCATTTCAATCATAGAAAAGAAATGTGTTCTACACAAGGTATTATTTAGTTACAATTTTGTACGGGTAAATCTAGTAATGCTAGCTGGTAATATTCCATAACTATATGCTAACAAACTGATTCCTTCTACTGTCCAGGTATTAGGCCAATTGATTGGGCCGCTCCAACTCACACCAATCTCCCTTGGCCCACCTCCACTTCATCAAATAAGTCCAAATCCCCTCGTTTTTCAATTCCTTTTCTGATTTTAATTTCCAATTTACTCTCCCGAATCCCTAACCCTTCTTTCTCCAAAATCCCTAATCCTCCTTTCTCCAAAATCCCTAATCCTCCTTTCTCCATTCCCAAATGCTGCTCGTTCCTTCGCTCTTCGCCTTCTTCTCCAACTATAACAGTGACCTGTGAGAACACCATCGGGGATTAATGTGCCATAATCATATGATGTTAAATTATAACTCAATAAACAACCACATTATCATACAAGTGAACATTGTACCAGAATTGAGGGGGGAAAAAGAGAATAGAACACGAGTACATTTCTTAAAATCATGATCCTCCATCTGCTGTTGCATAGGCTCAGTTCCAGCTTCTGCCTCAGTCGATTCATCGGCTTTATCACCCTTTTTCCTGTAGTAACAGGTATATTCAATTTCAATACATCAAAAGGAATTCGATAGGGCAAATCATGCATAAACCATGTTATTTTTATCCCTTGCATACATACCTTTCTTCTTCTTCCCACCACCTTTTTTCTCTGTCTTTGTGCCCAAAGCTAGCCATGCCTTGATTTCAGGATCATCTATTGCCTTGGTAGGCTGCAGCTCCTGCAGAGGATGGGACGTTATCCGATCTGATCCGTTAGGCATTAGCAACACAGTAAACTTTATTCGAGCAACATAATCACCTGCACAATTAAACATGGTGACCATATCAAACTCATTGTGATATATGATGGCATTAACAAGGTAATATCACCTCAGTCCTCGTATTATTAAACAAGATTTTCGCTATGAAATCGTAGCAGGCTTCTCATGAAGAACGGGATATGGCTGCAAGAGATCATGATTCACACATTCCACTAAACCTAGTCGAGCTCTTTTCTCTTCCAATGCCCTGAAAATCCACAAACTGATTAAACATCATAGATAATTGTGAATACATACTTATAGAACAAAGGCAAAAAAATCACAGACCGAGCAGTGAATGGCAGGATGGGAAATTTCTGATTTATCTCACTGAAAATAAATCTGGAGGTCTTCATCTTTAGATGATAATTCTTATCAACGGCTCTCTTATAAATAGACGTCTGCTTCTCATCTAACAGCTTTGGCTGAAATATAAATACGAAAAAATCTTGAGGATAATTAATATAACATAAACATATTAAAGCTATAAGAAGAGAAAAAACAATACCTTGCCTTCACCTGTGCTTGCAACTATATCTACTGCATAAACCTCGTTCTCCTCAGAACTCTGCATCATCAACTCTTGTACCGGATTGGAGACACTTAGTACAACTTTGTTCCCATCTATCACAAACTGCTTCAATTGATGGCTAAGAACACCTTCAACAATTTTGCGATCATAAGCTGCAGCTACCTTCTGAATTGCTTCTGTTACATCTTTATTCTGCCATTAAATCACAATCAAAAAAAATTAAATACAATAAAGAATATATTAAATAAGTGGAAAAGGAGATTTTAAAAAAGGAAAGCAGTACCAAATTCATAGAAAAGCAATCCATATAGAGCAGAAACAATTAAAAATATTTTCCCTAGTCACAGTAAACATGGCAAACCTCACTTGGATGTTTTTCCATAGCTTTTAAAAACTATGGTATATAGATTTTACAAATAAAAAAAAAGGAAAAAGATGGAACTCATGAGTTTCCAATCCACTGCAGCAATTGGTTTGGGTGGTTGACTTGGATTGTCGAGTGTGTGGCACAAAGAATAAACGATACTCTATCAGTGTAACTATGACAAAAAGAAGCAACATTGGAACTGAATCCATAGTCCAATGTTATATTCATCGTATAGAAATCGAGTGAACCTTGAACCACACCTCCCCAGCCACCATAGTAGGGGAAAAGACAAAAGTTTATATCAGCAAGTTGCTGCAACAGTTATTAAAAATAATTTGTGTATAAAAACAAGAGCTTTGCAACACTTACAAAACAATCATAAGGGTAACACCAATTCATGGTACTTTTAAAGAATATTTGGTCCACTTAGGCAATTGGTATAATCCAAAAAAAATGTTATCACCCTAACACAGCGAAGCATGACCAACTAAAATATTGGCAACAGGGAAAAGAGGAGATCACAAGAAAATGATCACCTCGGCAAAGTTGCCTCCCCAACATGTCTATTGACATCTTACACAAGGGTACCACCAACTTTAAGGTTGTTGAATAAAAACAATAATAAGGTAGTTTTAAAGAACATGTTGGCCCACATAAATTGGTATAATCCAAAAAAGATGTATCACCCTAATGCAACAAAAAGAATGACACTAAAATATTGACAACAAGGAAAATAAGAGTGGTGAGTCTAAATATACCAAGCAATCTACTAAACCCATCAACTTTTTAATTTTTTTAGCATTATGTCTTTTGCTTCTATTTTTTATAATTAAGTACTAATTTTTTTTTTAATTTTTGTTATCTTTTTTACTTATTTAATTATACATACATACATATATAATTTTAAGTTGTTTAATATTTATGTTTTTAAATCAGCAACTGTGCCAAATTATTTTAAAAGTTTCAATGTTTGAATAATTTTATATTTATGTTGCAAATTATTTACGTAATTGCTCACGACTCCCTTGGCAGGCCGTAAGCAGATTTCTTTGACGGCTACGATTCGTCGAGCGGTTGATATCAGCGGTAGGGATGGGCATGGGTCGGGTTTTTGGACCACCCTACCCGACCCGACGAAATTATAATTTCACCCGACTCGACCCGAAAGACAATTAAAAAAACCCGACCCGATTTAATTTTTTACTTATTAAAACCTACAAATTTTTTAATTTAAAATATAAAAAAACCTAATATAATAGTTGGAAACCACGTCCACTATGGTTGGAATGCCAATGCCACCCATCACTTGTTTTTTTATTATTTTCAATTGGTAGCTTTAGTAAAAGTGGGGGTTGACTTGGTAGCTTTAGTAGCCCTATACATTTTTGAGGAAGCAACTTTGCCGAGGAGATTATTTTCTTGGAGATTATTTTCTTGCGATCTCTTCTTTGGGCACTACTAAATTGGGCACTACTAAAGCTACCAAGTCAACCCCCACTTTTACTAAAACTACCAAGTCAAACATTGAAAATAATAAAAAAGCAAGTGAAGGCCCAAGTGTGGGAAACACGCCAGCACCAAACCTGAGTGGCATTGGCACTCCAATCATAGTGGACGTTGTTTATAACTATTATATTAGATATTTTTTATATTTTAAATTAAAAAATTTGTGGGTTTTAATAAGTAAAAAATTAAATCGGGACAGGTCGGGTCGGGTTTTTTAAATTGTTTTTCGGGTCGGGTCGGGTGAAATTATAATTTCTTCGGATCGGGTCGGGTTACGGGTGGAGTAACCTTTCTTCTCGGGTCAAGTAGGGTAGTCCAAAAACCCGACCCGACCCGACTCATGCCCATCCCTACAACCGCTCGACGAATTGTAACCGTCAAAGAAGTCTGCTTACGGCATACCAAGGGAGTCGTGGGCAATTACGTAAATAATTTGCAACATAAATATAAAATTATTCAAACATCGAAACTTTTAAAATAATTTGACACAGTTGCTGACTTAAAAACATTATTAAACAACATAAAATATAAAATTTTATATGTATGTATAATTAAATAAGTAAAAAAGATAACAAAAATTAAAAAAATAAATAATTAATACTTAATTATAAAAAAAAGCAAAAGACATAATGATTACATAACGATAAGAAATGATAAAAAAAATAAAAAATTGATGGATTTAGTAGATTGCTTGGTATATATAGACTCGCCCAATGTATATTCTACATCTTACACAGGGCAACACCAACTTCAAGGTAGTTTTAAAGGACATGTAGGTCCGCTTAGGCAATAGGTACAATCCAAAAAAAAAAGATGTATCGCCCTAATGCAGCCTAGCATGACCAACTAAAATATTGGCAACAGGGAAAAGAGGAGATCGCAAGAAAATGATCACCTTGGCAAAGGTGCCTCCTCAAAAATGTCTATTCTACATCTTACACAGGGCAACACCAACTTTACGATAGTTTTCAAGCAAATTTAGGTCCGCTTAGGTAATAGGTACAACCCAAAAAAAGATGTATCAACCTAATGCAGCCTAGCATGAACAACTAAAATTTGGCAACAGGGAAAAGAGGATATCGCAAGAAAATGATCACCTCGGCAAAGTTGCTCCTCTACAAATGTCTATTCCACATCTTAAACAGGGTAACACCAACTTTAAGGTAGTTTGACAAAAACAATCATAAGGCAGTTTTAAAAAAACATGTAGGTCCACATAGGCAATAGGTATAATCCAAAAAAAGATGTATCACCCTAATGCAGCCTAGCATGACCAACAAAAATATTGGCAACAGGGAAAAGAGGAGATCGCAAGAAAATGATCACCTCGGCAAAGTTGCCTCCCCGAAAAAATGTCTATTCCACACCTTACACAGGCAACACCAACTTTAAGATAGTTTGATAAAAAAAATACAAAGGTTATACCTACTTATCGTAGCTTTTAGAGAAAATGTTGGTTCCCTTACGCAATTGGTGTAATCCATATAAATGGTATCACCCTAGGCTGCCTAGGCCAACCAAACATGATATTGGCAACAGGGAAAAGAGGAGACCCACAAGAAATTGATCACCTCGGCAAAGTTGCCTAGATTGAATTTTGTTCTACATCTTACAATCACTTCCAAGAATAAAACAAAAAGGTATTAAATAAACACAAGTAAAGTTGTTGCAAAACTGCGTTGAGAGATCAATTCCCCTATCAGAGTAACTATGACAAAAAGCTTCATTTGGATGTATATCCATAGCTAATAAAAGAAGTTCATCATTCAGGGGTCAAGTGAAAGTCATGAGCAAAGTAAAGTCTTCACATTTAAAGCAATTGCAAATTCAACTTGAAAAATGAATAGTTGGGTCAAATAGCAAAAGCAAAATAACTGTAGAAACATTCAAAGAACACAAAGGATAATATAGAATATGAGCATCACAGCATTGATATACAAAACAATTACCTTCTTTCCTGGCCTGACAAGTCTCAAGGCAACTTCAGCAGCAGTATTTGCAGCAGTAATTACATCAGCCTGCCTGCCAGAGACTGGTCCATTATTAACAACATGAGTGTGTGCAACTGCAGCTATAAATCCATCAATGTGGCAACCCATATCACTGCATCCAGGAAAAAGGAAACATTTTACTTGCCACTCAAAGTACAAAATCCCACTAACATTAAAAAGTTACATATGATTATGAAGCTTACATCTTCACCATATCACCTTCTTCCAACTCCGAGGTGTCACTAGCAAGTGGAGAGAAATGGCAGACAACGTTGTTCACAGAGAGACAAGTAGGGAAAGCAACACCCTTCTCGATCTTCTTCTTAGCATTCTTGTACATGTTGCCTGTTTGCCTTTGCATTACATAAAACACAGATCCCTAAGCTCATTATCGATGGTAAAAAAATATACAATCAAACACTATACTAGCATAAACTGAAACGCTTACTCTCTAATAAACGAATCACCCTTTTCGCAAATGTCAAGGATCTTAGCTCTAGGCTTGCATTCTTTCAAAACTAGCTGCAACGCCTCTGCAAATTTCAAAAACATAACGCCAAAACAAAAACAGCAAACAAATAACCAATCATATATTAAACTCAAGCCATTTCCAATAAGTTTTAAAAATCAAGTAAATAAAAAAAGAGAATAGATTAACTGTTGACAATCTCAGCAGCGCCCTTGTATTTGGTAACAACTTCAGAGGAGGTGAGATCTAGCTCCTTCTCCTCTCTCTCTTCGTCCGACATCGTTTCCAGAGTTTATCAAAAACCTATTCAATTCCTTAAAAAATAAAAATTAGAAACGGTATCAGCGGAGAGTCAAAGAAGGTACTTAGCAAAAGTATGATAGTAATTGAGAGAGAGAGAAGCTCACTGGTTGAAAATAGCGGCAGTCAATGAGTGGAGCTATGGTTTTGGCGAGGTAATGTGCTGATAAGATATGGAAATATATATAAAAATAATGGAGGCTGACTCAAAGGGGAGAGAATTAGGGTTTTTGGGTTCTTATAACGGCAGCGTTTCCTTATATAGAATTTCTTTTGCTTTACGGTCCATTTTGTAATTTTGTGATTGTTGAAGTGAAAATAGAGACACATATCAAAACAGCACTTCCAATTATTTACTATAAGCATGGATGGGTTGAGACACGTGGTGTTAACGGTCATATTTTTTAAAAGAGTAAATTACAAATTTGATAGTTGAACTTTCATACAATTTATATTTTACTCACCATACTTTTAAAAGTTTCAATTTGATCACTAAACTTTTAAATTACTCCTGTTTTGATCACTCAATCGTTAAATAGCTAGTGGTATTATGACATGACAAGCTCTACAAAAACGTCATTTTATATCCTATAAAAACTAAGAGTAAATTAAAAATTTGATAACTGAACTTTCATATAATTCCTATTTTACTCACTGTACTTTCAAAATTTTCAATTTGCTCATTCAACATTATAGATTGAGTTTTTTGTCACTATGTCGTGGTTAGATGAATGGACGGTCGACGGAGGTAGCGACGGTGAAAGGGCAAATCGATCGGGTTTGGTCGGAAAGAGGAGATGACTTCAACTGTGGCGACAGTGAGACGAACGGACAGTTGGGGTGTCCGAAAATTGTTAAAAACCGATGGTAAGCTTTAGTTTCCTAACGAACCTTCGACGGTGACAATGCAAACCACCGCTGGCCTGATATGGGTTAGGCGGTGAGGGCAGCGGTGGACGATCATGACGATGAGAAGTTTAACAGCATAGTGAGCAAAATTGAAAATTTTGAAAGTATGTTGACGAAAATAGGAATCATATGAAAGTTCAGTTATCAAATTTGTAATTTACCCTAAGCCACGTCATAGCATCCATGAATTTTAACGATTAAAAAACTATTTCTCTAACTCACATTATAATTGAATGAGAAGTTTAACGATAGAGTGACCAAAACACTCAATTTATAAATTTGAGTGAACAAATTGAAAATTTTAAAAGTACGATAAATAAAATAGGAATCATATAAAAGTTTAGTTATCAAATTTATAATCTACATTTTTCTAAAATATATGTAAATATTGAAATTTGAGTATAGAATGCGACCTTAATGTTAAAGAAAGTTCGTTGATATCTTTTGAAATCTTAAATTAGAATATCGTAAACGTTAAAATTGTGAATATTTATTATTAAATAATTAAAAATATTTAAATATATATTTTTTATATTTATTTTAAATTTATAAAGATAAAAATTTAAGTATCGAAACTCGAGCTCATAACACCTCGAGTATCTAAACTACCTCAAAGCTTTAAAATTCTATGGGAAGTTTTACACTAAATCTCAAAATTTCAAGTTGATGTTGAAATCGATTCCAATTTTGAAACTCTCTTTATCAATTTCAATTTTAAATTATATTAAATGTTTTAAAAGCATCATGTCACTATTATGTTTAACATGCTTGCCTTATATATTTAAATTAAATTAAACGTTTAGTACCTAAACTATTAGTTTTGATCTATTTTTATACCTAAACTTTTTATTTTTCAAAAGACATAATGTAATAAAATACCCTTAACTTTAGACAATTGTAAAATTAATTCTTTTTTATATTATTAAAATATTAATTATAAAAATTAATTTTTAATGAGATTGTCAAAATATATTAAAATTTAATTTTTATGAAATTAAAAAATAATTTTATGCAAATAGTTCCTATGATTATTAAGCTTTCTGATTTTTTAAAAGAGAATGGATACATAATTTTTAACCTTTAATTAATTATAAAATGTTATGAATTATGATTTTATTTTTAAGAAAAATATATCAATCTCTAAATTAAACTGATACTAATAAGTTCTTATGGATTTTTTTCTCCCTTTCTCATAATTGAACTGATGCTATTTCGGTCGTCTAAGAGTGATGTATTTGATCAGAAGTTTGTTCTAGTTTGTGAAATAAGGTATAATTTTTATCCTAATAATAATAACAATAATACCCATATAAATGGTTCCTGAACTTTTAAGACGGTTGTGTTTTGATTACTCAACTTTTGAAACTTGCAATACAATCATTGAATTGTTCGTTTTCAGTAAAGTCCTCGTCGTTATCTCCCGTTAGTTTTTATTGATGTGACACTTAACTGCCATTAACTCCATTCTTCTTCTCCTCCTCCTCCTCCTCACATGATATCTATGGATTTCCGGAAATGAAAAAAAAATTAGTTGACCCTTATTCTCATATGTAATGGGGTAGAGGGAGGTACGATAGTAGGCTGCCCCAACACCAAGTTGAGAGTAACTTTCATAGAAGACCTCCGAATTATGAAATACTTTCCGTGGGACTCGATCCCACGACCCCAATGTTAATAACCTTGTGCTATACCAACTCTCAGCTCCTTACTCTACAAAAAATGACAAAGTAAAAGCAAATCAAAGTAGCCCCCTCTCATCTGATTCAATTATTGGAGGAAGGCTTGAAGATGGAACCAAATTTCAAGGGAAACCAAATCTTTGAAATGCATTATTTTGAATACATTTATTCAGTTTTTGTGAAAGTAGGCTCAAATTACATGAATCATATGTTTTGAATCACCTAATGAATGGAGTCAACATCATTTCCATCATATCATATGTATGCTTTGCAGCAAAGACAAATTAACAGCCTATGAAATGGACATTAGCCAGGTTCTGATCTATAAGTGAAAATAAATATCACATTAATAATTCAAAGAACTCATGAAATCACCTAAAAAAAAGTTACCCACAAGTGAAACTTGGAAGCCTCAACTTGCTCCATTGTCGACCACTTCAATGTTTATGGCACGAACCGTTAACCCTCTCTTCTTTTTCTTCTTCTTCTTCTAACACTGCTTTGAAGCACTATTTAAACCCATTTCTAGGCAACTTTCTCCCTTCAACGAAATCCTCGGACTTTGCGAGTGATTGAGCTGATTATAGATGTGGGGATTCGGTCGAGGCGGTCGATCTGCCATCTCCGTCGTTGAAAAACCGGATCTGTGTCTAAAAACAAACCTAAAATCGCTTTATTTTCCCTAAATTCAGCCGAATTTGGCTGAAGGGTACCTCTCGATGGCAAAATTTTCTTTTGGGGGGGGATCCCAAGAAAAATTCATAGAAAATTACAAAAACAGAGAAAAAAACATCAAGAGAGAAATACGTATGGGTTGGGCTCTGCAACAGATGGAAACAATGACCTAATCCTATTAATCTCTATTGACATGACCTCTGATAGAAAAGTATGGAGACTTAAGACCATACTAGTCGAGTAGTGTGGGTCACAACCATAGGGTGTAGCATCTCTGTCTCCTTTTAATGCCTTCGTAGTAATCTCCATGACTTCTACTTTTTATACGTTTCTGTTATTAGATTTTATGAAGGCTTAGAACTAGGATAACGGAGTAGTGTTGCCTTAGTTTAGGTTTTAAACCATTTGACTTTATTCCTCCTCGTAGCTTGCTATCGCTGACTCCTGTGTATTCTTATCTTCATTTTTCCTCTTTTTATATTTAACCGGGACTTACGTTTCTGTCTATAAGCAGAGATTTTTACGCAGGGATTTATTTGCAGGGATTTACTAACCATTACAGACGCATATATGAAGACAACATATGAAGACTATTCAACTATGTATTTATTGATTTATTTATGCAGGCATTGTATCTTATCTTTATTTTTAATTTTCTTACTGCCGGAGGTCTACCACGGAAGCTGCTCTCAATCTGGCGTTGGGGGCAGCCTACTACCCTACCTCCCCCTGACCTCATTGCATATGGGAATAGGGTTTTGTTGTTGTTGTTGTTGTTGTTTCCACTTCTCGGAAAACTTCTTCTTTTTGTGCATTTTCTTCTTTGTTTAGGTGAAAAGAGTGAAGGTCCGAAAGAACCCAGATTCGGGTTTTGGTAACATGGATTATGAATCAAAAGAAAACATGAGAAAAGCAAAGGATTGGAGAAGATGGAGAGGAAGAAGAAGATTCACGCTTTTCTTAGAGGTTTGCATGGTTTTGAAGGGAGAAAGTTGCCCAGAAGAAGAAGATGGGAGACTTAACAGCCACATCAACGAAAACTAACGGGACATAAATGAAGGGACTTTATTAAAAACAAATTAAATTTTGAGAAAATAACCTCAGTGACCAAAAATGCCTTATAATATACGATTTTAACCAACTTTTTTTGGATTTTCCAAAATGACCAACTAAATCGCAATGCGATCGATAATTCGCAACGCGATCTCCGGTATCGCAAATCAGTTTCCAGATTCGCAACGCGAACTTCAACTATCGCAATGCGAACTTGGACTATCGCAATGCGAACTTGGACTATCGCAATGCGAATATGTAAATCGCAATGCGATAGTCGACTATCGCAATGCGAATATGTAAATTGCAATGCGATAGTCGACTATCGCAATGCGAACTTGGACTATCGCATTCCAAAATCGCAACGACTGGTGGTATTGCATTTTTTTCTTAAGAATTTTCTCTAAAAAGATAGTATTCGCGCGGACGTGTCGAAGACACGTATTACCACGACCACGACCCCAAGCCGGCCCGAGACGGATGGCGGCGGCGGCGGCGCGCGAGAGTCCCCCTTGTTCTCTATCACTCAACAAGGAAGTGGGAAAGCCAAGCCTTAAATGCCATTCCCAATAGTGTTTCCAATACTATGTGGGATTGAGCATTACCAACACTTGTTTCCAATACAATGTGATTATTCAGGAAACAATTAACAATCATGCACCTTAAAACAACTGAATCAGCAACCAATTGCATTAGTATTATACGATTAAATATGTCATAATTAAATGTCAATCTACAATCAATCGCGATTATTGCAATTTTAAGCAAAACATTCAAAAATAATATCACTATTTAAGGCTCAATCCCACATAGTATTGGGAACTAGTGTTGGTAATGCTCAATCCCACATAGTATTGGAAACACTATTGGAAATTGTATTTAAGGCTTGGCTTTCCCACTTCCTTATTGAGTGATAGAGAACAAGGGGGACTCTCGCGC